ATCAGCTTAAAATTACCAGAACATGTTGGGGTGACTTCCTTTTTTTGTGAGTCATGCTCAAATTATCTTGAATTTTTCTTCTTTTACTGACCAACAACAACATCTTGACATTTGGGGTAACCGTAGAAATGCCAAGGTAAGCATTTATCAGCAGAAACCATCTGGGAATGGGAATAAGTATCTTATTTGTGTGTGTGTATATGTGATATAACTTTTATCCTAGAACTTTCTTAATGGACAAATGAGTCTCTGTTGGTTTATTTAAGTTTGAAGATACCTGCCAAAATTCAATTGTACTAATCTAGGGATGGTTACTTGTAATATCTCCACGGGTCAGCAAAATTTACTAGGTTAATTTTTCGTAGTAAACGGAAGATTTGGTTGTGAATGGACACATTACCAGTAATTTTTAAGTTTACTGAGGATGGAGTATTACAAGTATTTTAAAATTCTTAGCCTTAAAGCGAATTTACATATAACATCTACTCATGATTAAAAGGTGAATCAGGGTTTATTTTCTTAATCGGGCTGAATTTACCATGATTTCTCATACAAATTTAAATCATTGTTGCGCAGGGTTTATTTTAAATCATGATCGAAATCATGATACTATTGAGATACAACGCGGGTTTTGTACGAAAAAATACAACTCTCTCACAAAGTACCAAAATTTGCAACTGTTTTTACATGCCGTTTATTTTTAAATTTAACGGTTGACAAATACAAAAATGAAAGATCAAAGAAAATTAAAAATTATTTATAGAATTTTTGTGTTTTTAGTACTTTTTTTACTTTTGCATCAAAGTATTGCAAAAACATTTCCATTGTGGTAATTCTTCTATTTTTTTTTTCAAATTGCAAACAAATATTTTTGGCGCAAAATAATAATTTTGTATGTATACTAACAAACATCAGCTGATCGGCATTTCGATCATGATTAATGATATGTGTAAACAATTAGGGTGTATTTCTGGATTTCGTTAATCGAGTCGATTTAAAATATTATATGTAAATGTACTAGTGCATACACTTTTATACCATAAAAATGGACTCAATTCGGACCGAGACCTCTTGAAGAAAGTACACATTTTTTCAAACAATGTCCATGCATTTTAGTACCTCTCCGACACATAAATTTTTTCTAACCAGTTTTTAAGTAAAACGAAAAAATTCAACCTATGGATTAATTCAACAACTGAATGTTCTAATCTTTTGGTTAAATTTTGCATTACATTTGCAACTCATCGAAATATTCAACGGAAATCCCACCCGCCTGTCTTTTTTAAACTTTGAAACTATACACATACATTGCTACTAGCCATACGGATGTTGGTACTGAAAATGAGATAAGTAGGTCCACGATTTTTTGAATCGTTTTTAGTTCGATTTTTTAACCAAATTGTTTGCTTGTGATATTTTCTGTTATAATTGGGTGCCAGGTCTTAATAGTAAACGTTTACCACGGTATAACCCTCATAAGAAATTCCAGAAATTCATAAAAATTCCCAATTTTGAATGTTCATCTTATCGTAGACGCTTCCACTCCGATTGAGACATCTCCAGCTTTATCTGGCGATAAAACTCGTTTACCATACAGACAGCCAGATTGGTTCGGTTAAAAATATTTTGCAGAGAAATCCGTTACCAATTAAAGACCTTAAATTATGCTAGGATCTAAAAAATAAGTAAGATATGGGAAACATGAGGGCTAGGTCTGGATAAGATCTTATAATCTTTATTCGAGGAAAATCATAAATTCCAAATTGCAACAGTCAAAAGCGGGGCCATATTTAAAAGTACTATGATAAATAATTTTTGTCCTCTCAGAAGACAATGTAACAGCCACTTCGATTGGAAAATAGGCTTACGACCTTAAAATACTTAAAATGCGGTTGTCCTTTTATAATGAGGCAATCTCCAAACATGGCATTTGCTTCACGAATTTTTTTTTTTTTACTTTTAAGAATCAGAAATGCTTAACTAATTACAGTCTCTTCGGTTAGAATCTTTGGGATTGGGAAACAACTTCAAAAATATTTTTTAACCCTCTAAAAATCCGAAACTAAAATTTACTTTTGTTTTCTTCATGGGACTTTCAAAATACCTAAAATGCCACCGGTCAAAACCTGCTTGTATACTGACCATTTTTGGTAAAAATACCTCCTGAGAATCTGAAATCCAAAAAAAGAATACCATCATGATCAGCCCTCATCAGACCCCAAAGATCACATACAATTTCAAACGATAGTCTCGGTTAGAAAATATTGTTACAACCTAAAACCTTAATTCTAAAATAGTGCAAAATTTTTGTATAGAGGCCACGACAAGGTATGGAACTGTATTAAAAATGCTTAGCTGAAAAATCATTTTAGAACCTGAAATACCAATTTACTTACACTTCGGATGAATACAATTTATATAGGTTCTTTAAAATACATAAAATGGGCGGATATTTATATGGAGGACATATCAAAACTGCGATTAGGTTTTTTTTTCGATACGGAAATTTTAAATTACAGCCAATATTATCGTGGAAGATATAAAACATAACTAGAAAATAATAAATATTCAGAAATTTCTCATAAACCACTGCAATTATTTCGTAGAAATTTGACCTATATCAAAAGATTTTCCTGAGAAAATACTCTACCCAATAAGATATTGAAGGGTTACATAAAAAAATTAATGTATTTTATGAATAGTGTTCATAAAGCGTTGTTAATGTCTGAATTTCTGCATTTTATGAATGCAATTCATAAAACTTCAAATACTGTTGTTGGTATTTATATCGAAATAATTTGGAAAATACATATGCGAATTTTATAATAGCAATGCGGTGTCTGATGTAAACAAACAATTAAATACTAAAGTAACCACAATTGAGTGATTGGAGAGACGGAGTCTGTTATCAAAAGGGAGAAATAGCTAAACACACGGTTACGAAACTAATAACCACCAAGTGACGGAAAATAGTTTTGATATTAATGAAACGTTTACATATTTTTTAAAAAATAGTGGCTTCCTCACGATTATAAGAAATTTTTCTATGTGTAGTACAAGGACAATATAAAAAATATATGAATGGAATTATGAAAATATTCATTAAAAGATTTTTGGGAGGTGAAGAATTCCTTATGGGAATAAAATCACATGACGAGAGACAAGAACTCAGAAGGACAAATTCGTTAACGTCAAGTTTTTGAGTCGACTTTTTTGCTGGTTGCTCTAAAGTTTATGAAGAAAAGGATTTATATATTTATTCGCGACTATCGTGTTAAAACGAATGAGGAATATTTTTTTAAATATATTCTCTCTCTATCTCGAGTTGAAGGTTTCCGGAGCCTGGATAAGGTAAACGTGAATAAAGAAAAATAAATCCAATTTTTTTTGGCAGATGGCTGTACTGATAGATTTATGCTCATTGACTTTTCGCAGTAAAAAAATATTTTGTTGTTTTTTGTTTGATGCAGTCAGTTGTAAGTTGCAGGGTGTTAAAAAATGAAGTGAACAAATAGAAAATTGGGTACATTTTAAGTTTTTCTTCGACAACGGTGAAAATGCAAGCCAAGCGGATATAATTGTGAATGGTGTTTATGGTTCCGATACTGGAATTTTTGATGTTAATGTCGATAAAATCGGAGAAATTATCGAATTTGACCATCGCCCCGGAGCTAAAAATCTACCATAAAACTGTTTTGAACAATTTACACAAAAAATGGATTTCTTTTTCCCCAACTTAATATAATGACGAAAATACCCACAAGGACTAGAGGTTACGAAATCTACGTAATAAAATATTTCTCATCTCAAATAGCTCCAAATAACTTGACCCTTGGCGAATTTTCCCTTCTGTGTCCTCAATACACTCGCCAAGGGCTTTTATACTCGCAAGAATGTCCCACGCCCAAAATATTGTGCAGGATTACCTATATTTTTGTTCTTCATATAATAATTAAATATTTACGATATAATTAATTTAAATTAATTCATAATCACTCGGAATTAGAGTAACTTCGGGTAATGTGGACCATGCGTCAAATGTGGACCACCCCCCATATCTAAGAAAATGCTTGAAATATGTCAATGTCGCCTTGATAAATATTTTCCTTATTAGTGAAAACAAACATCATAATTGGTTTTTAATAAATAATTGCAATGTTGAAAATGTAGTAGTAGAAAATGTACCACTGATTGTAAAAGTGTGATTTGAACATTTTTTAGCATAATAGTCGAACACTTTGTTTTTCTCGAATATAAAGAAGTTATGTGGTTTTTCTTGTTTTCTAAAAACAAAAATATACGTTTAGCTGTAATTACAATCGGCGATTTTTAATTTTTATTCATTTTTGAAGCCGATAATTATTTCTAAATAAAAATATTCAATGTCGGGTAATGTGGACCACTATGAAAAAGTGGGACCTTTTCATGAGGACGAGTTCGAAACGTGGGTGAATTTAATATGCGATGAGGTATTCAATCCTGTGAAAACTCGATATGCGAAATTACAGGTGCTTCGGTTGGGTAATGAAGCAAGAACCTTCAAAATACAGCAAATGGGGCGGTACCCTTAAATGAGGGCTATTCCAAAATATGAACCCATATATTTTTGCATTCATTGTTACCCAAGAGTGTAATAAATTGAAATTTACCTTAACCAAACCACAACCTACCTTTAACTTACTGATACTCATTACCCACACATACTGGTCCACATTACACGCCAAGTTATTTTTATTTGCAGCTTAGAGTTTTTTTGAAACATAATGCAATAACATTTTTATAGACAAATATATATGATTTTTGACCTGGAATATATTTAGTCAACAAATCTACTATGTTGTGAAAACAATTTGTTTTCAGTTTTTACCGTTGGTACGCCCACAATATCAAAAAAAGAACATTGTGGTCCACAATACCGGAAGTTACTCTATATGTACTTTTTTATTAATTCGCAATTAATTGATTTTATAAAATTTATTTCATCATTCTTTTCATTACAGGATTACGAACATATGGGCCGGGCATTTTGTGAAACGCTGCTGGACTATTGCGATGACAATCCGAATAAAGTAAAGAGAAACGCTAAGTTGTTGAAACGCATTAAGAAAATACGTAAACGCGAGAAACGCGAACAGAAGGCATTGAAATTAAAGAAATTGGCCGAACAGGGATGTATAATCGAAGAGAAATTCAAAGTTAAAATGAGAACAGGCAAAAGTGTTTCTTAGAAAAAAGAACAATAAACACCTACACATAAAAAAACTAATTTTACAAAAAACATTACAATAACAACAATACTACCATAACACTTAAGACGAAAAAAATACACTAATAAAAAATCATATACCCACTTAACAGATACTTGCCAAAATAACACAATTTTGTGGTTTTTTCAGTTCCTTATACGTAAACATGTTGTTGTAGTTAATTTTTGTTGTTGTAATTTATTGTGTAATATTTGTGATTTATTTATTTTAATGTTTTGTGTAAATGGTGAAAAAAAGTAGATTTTTTTGTTGGTAATTTGTCAATAAAACGTCCTGTCAACAAATACATCCTACACCAAAAATAAAGTTCTTTGTATTTTGAAAAAAAAACAAGTTTTATAAAGAAGTACAGTGGAACATTTGAGAGATGGATATTATCCTAATATTTAAAATATAAATAAGGTAAATAGGAAGATTATACTGCGTCACATTTTTCAACTTGAAAATGTTGACCAATCGGGACCGCCATAAACTGAAGGCTTCTGATTGTAGATCTTATAAAGGGGTAAACACGAGATACACGTACGTAATATTTGAAAATCTACTCAAACTCGACCAAATTAAAGGCGGATTTAAGCAAACCCCCTTAGCTAATAATTCAAAACCCAGCTAGGGGGTTTCTCCTACCATCATAAGCTTTCAAATTTTGGCGGTCCCGATTGGTTCAAGATTTTATTGGTGCTCAGTGTTATTATACATAATCATGATCCCAATTTTGACTATTGATATCCATTTCTCAATGGTTCCAATGCAATTCATTTTTTAAATGTTTATTTTTTAGTTATTTTTTTATTTATTATTTAGTTGTTTTTTTTTTTTAATTTATTTCCTTATATATTTGTTCAATGGTGTAGGCAATTGTAACAACTCAACCACCTGTGTCTGTATGTATATTTAGTTGTAAACTAGTCTTGGAGCCCTGGTTTTATTGTTTGTTTTTTCTTAATTTCAAATTCATTTGACTGCCTTTATAAACTTATTTTTGAACTGCTCTCTGCCTCTCTATCATCTATGCTTCCTGTATGTCTTTCTGTTTCAGTATCTGCCACCAACACAGAACATTTATATTTACACAGACACTAAAATGACTTACACAGATACACCACTACACAAAAATACAAGTCCTTTCCATTTTCCTTAAGCTTGTGTGTGTATGTACTCGTATATGTGTCTCGCTTGGTTACCCAAACAACTGATGTTGTTTGTGAAATTTCATAGAAAGCTCAAGGAATTTTCAAAAGTTTCTTTGTTGTTTTGTTTTTGTTTTACTTAGTGTTTTTGTTGTTTTCGATGTTTATCCCCTTTCACACAAAGGAAAATGTAATGAAAATGTTTCCGTAACATTACATGGAAAAGTTAAATTTGTTACGTTGTTACGTAAAATGCAAATTGATATAAGTTTTGATTTATTTATTTACGATATATGAAGAAATTATTTAAAATTCCTAATGGGGATGAAAGCCCTTGGCAAGTAGTATGAACCCACAAAGAAAATTTGTCATTGGTCAAGTTTTTGAGTTATGGTGCAGTGAGGTTTTTGTTCCATAGTTCACAAAGTAAATGATTTACAGTGAGTAACAGTTAAAAGTGTCCACTTGGCTTTTATGCCCTCAGCCTTATGGCTAATGAGGGTATATACACTTTGATACGGTGAAAATGTGCCTCATCGAAATATTGGTTTTAGACCCCATGTTTCTTTGGACCAAATCCGTTTCAGAAAATTTGAAGTCGATTTACACATGTCCGTCCGTTGTCCGTCTGTCTGGCTGGCTGGTGCGCACGATAACTCTCGAAGGCAATTATCGATTTCATCCAAACTTTGCACATCTTCTTTCCAAAATTAGTTAAAATTCGAAGATGGGGAATATCGGTCCACTCCTTCTGGTACGTCCCCAACAAAATGGTCAAAATTGTTATAAATATTAATTCTATAATAACATGCAAACGGACTATCCGATTTTAACGAAACTTTGTACAACCTATTTTCTTTACCTGGCCTAGATCAAGTACGAAGATGGGACCCATTGGTCCACTCCTTCTTGTATCTCCCCCACAGAGGGTGAAAATTTCCAATACTTATAAAACCAATATCATGCGAATGGAATGTCCGATTTGAACCAAGTTTTTCACAACCTGTTATCTTTTCCAAGTCCTGATCAAGTCCAAAGATGGAACCCATTGGTCTACTCCTTCTGGTCTCCCTGAGTTGCACTGAAAAAGCCAATTCATAAACCCGAAAAACTGGAAAATCCGATTGGAATTCGTGCAGGAACACGACAAAAAATCTGTAATATTTTCTTATGACAGCAAATTTAACTTGTTTGGGTCGGATTGACCAAGTAAAGTATGGCAAAGGACGAATAAAGCCATGGACCCTAAGCATACAATTTCGACCGTAAAGCACGGATGAGGCTCTGTAATGACATGGAGCTGTACGAGCGCTTCCGGAGTATGACATCTCTGAGTTTGCAATTGTTTTTGTTTAACATACATTATTATATCCTACACAACTATGTTGGCAGGGTATTGTAGTTTTGTGCAGCCACAAGAGTTTGCAACACGATATAGGCCACAGTTATAGACCAATCTACACGAAATTTTGCATGTAGGATATTTTCTGGCCAATGAAGACCCCTATTGGTAAAGATCGGTTAATATTTAGGGGATGAAATGGACCAAATACTTAATTTTCGTGGGTTTTTCTGGTCGCTCCAGAGGCCGCAATTATGGCCCAAATATTGCGAATTTTTACATGGAGAAGGGGATCGGGCCAAAGAATAGGTATGGTTTGATAAAGATCGGTCATTATATTCAAGATGATGTTGGCCATTAAACTTATTCAAGATGAGTGGTTGGCCATTAAACAGATACCAATTATATGGTATGTACTCAGATGTGGGAGTTACACTTAAGGGGACCCCCCCCCCCCATTCTCGGGGTCAAAATTTTTGTTGACTTAATTCCAATCTAAACTAATTCAAGAATGTCCCTGCAAAATTTCAAGTTAAAATCTCAAGAACTCTGGAAGATATAGCCGATTTATTGTGTCAGCATCAAGTGTCGGCTGAAGGGCTTCTCAAACTTTAAACGCGTTTTTCTCTAAACATTTTTTTTGCGAATGGCGGGCACGATAACTCAAAAACTAATAACCCAATCGATTTCAAATTTTTACACGTTTCTCTGTGAGTGTATAGCTCTCGTATGAACTAGGATAAAGCCAATCGGTGAAGATCTTCCTTATTTTTTAACTTGGGTTTTGGTAAAAAATCGGCGATTTTCCAAAAATATTTTTTCAAAGGTCCGCCATTTTGTTAATTTTAGAGCGAGGTCAATTATCCTAGTTCATACGAGAGCCAGACATGTACTCTTTCTAACACCGTTGGAATTTTCGGATTCCGATGTTCCAGTGAGGAGTTATCATGCCCGCCATCAAAAATAAGGACTTTTCTTTGATCACAAAAAACAACAACAAAACAACAACAAAAATTTTTTGTAAAATATTTTTCTTCCTTTTTAAATCTTCAAATACATATGTGCAAAGTTACAAACCTTAACAAGCATTGGTATTCATTTGCCAGCCCAGTTAAAATCTTAAAAAAAAAATCGTGAATGGGGGGGGGGGGGGGATGGGGGTTCCATTAAATATTTACAGGTGTTTACGTACTTAGATATTATTTAGTATCCCATTGCCACATTAGAGGGCGGAAATATAGCGCTGATCGCTTTGAAATTTTCCATGAAATTCCAGTTGTGGTCAAGGACAACGCCTATAATTTTCGGTGATGATCAGACAATTAGTTTGGGATGAAGTGGAGCGAAAATTTAATTTTTTGTGTTTTTTTCGATTCAATCTATACGCTACAATTATAAGCTGAACATCACAACGCAACACACGGTGAAGAGGGCCGTACTGATTATTGGGAATATTCGGAAAATATGTCAGTGTAAGGAAGTGGTGCTGTTGACCTCTAATCGGGCAAGAGGGTGCAACTATCACGAAGTATTACCCAGGCTCGGAATAAAAATCCGCAGAACGATAGAGTTTAGTGGTAGTTGTGTAGGGTATCATATGATCGGCCGCGTCCGACTATACTGCTCCGCTCACTGGTTTTTTATATTAAATTCTTGGGATAACATGCCCTCAATCAAATCAAAATATGTCCTCCTTCGGGAATCTAAATACCACAAGAAGAGAATTTTTGACGTCCAAATATTCTACAAACATTTTTTTAATAGGGTCCCCAAAGAAATGAAATCGGTATTCAAGGTATTTCTGATAGTGACAAATCGTCGATCTATGCGTATGAGCTCGAAATGAAACAATAATCGAACGTTTAGTTATTTGAAGATCGAAAACCGACAAAATTTGTTCGTGCTTCGTCATGTGGCAACTGTTCCACAATTAATTTATAGGGGGAAATTTGAAAAACAAACAAGAGAACACGAATCATGGTTAGCTGTTTCTTCGATCAATTCGGAGCAGCAACATGTTTGCCGAAAGTCTTCAGAGGAATTAAAAAAACAACGAACTAGCGAAGAAGAAGAAGCTTTGCGAACCGTGACAATTCGAGATCCACACTTCGGCTTCAACGAGTGCCTCTTTGCGTAACAGCGTAAGAAGAAACATAAATACGTCACTAAATTCCACCGGCCCGATCTATGTATACCGTCTACAATTCTCAAAGGTCAGGGCAGTCATAATAAATTGCTAGTCGGTTAAATATTTGGGTAAATAAAATACCGGATTACAGACATATAGGGCTAAGAAGTCATGTAAACCTTGGATCTATATTGAAAATTCT